AGAGAGAGAGAGAGAGAGAGAGAGAGAGATGTACAAGAGTACCCACCACACAAGGAAACTGTCTGTCTTTGACACAGGTGTCCGCGGTTCCATTCCCGATCTCATAGGTCAGGCAGTTCTCGTAGTCACAGGTCACATTGTAGCACAGGATGTGGGGCTGGTTCATAGATAGAATTGTCACAATGATAATGATGATAATAATAATAGTAATGATAGTAATTATAACAATGTAATAGTTATTATAGTAAATAAGTTAGTAAGTTTATTCAGTGTTTAAGGCCATTGGTTCACATCATATCACATAAAACACTCATTTGATAAATAAAGTTTCCATAATGAATAAGTACAGGTTGTGCACATATCTTTTATCATGGGTCAAACATTGCATATTTCTGTCACTGGGCCGAGTCAGGCTGGGAGGGATTAACAATTTCCTTTAATGGACAAAGTGTGAACAATTGAAAATAAAGTGAAGTTCATCTACAATTTCATGAGAGTTACACCTCTCACATAAGGCTTACTCTGCTCACCTCTCTAGCTTCAACAGCACAAAGTCTGCTTCGACTATCAAGCCACCCCAGAAATGGCAGTTCACAAGAGAGTGACAAACATACAAAAGATGTAGAGGAAAAATGACGATAGTAAGGATGGGGAAAGAAAAAGCAGCAGTTCCCTCTTTGTTGTTCCAGCGCAGTACGAGCATGGCATTGATAAATCAGCCCATTTACAATTCTACTGTGTATAAGAACATGTTAATCCCCCCCCCCTCTTTTGGGAATGGAGTAAAGGAAACTTCAGTCAGTAGCATTGCCCGGGGAGGGGGGGAGCCCATAGACACCGCACAGAGTAACAACAAAATAAACGAAACGAACCCATCTAAAGTGGTAGGAAACTCTGCTCTTTGAAGCCTAAACATTAGATTTGAAACGTCGTAGGAGGGAAAAACAGTGTGTGTGTGTGTGTGTATGTGTGTGTGTATGTGTGTGTGGTTGTGTCGGCGTGTGTGTGTATGTGTGTGTATGTGTGTGTGTATGTGTGTGTGGTTGTGCCGGCGTGTGTGTGTGTGTGTGTGCGTGTGTGTGTGTGTG